TGGTGATTGCTGGGGGTGGGAAGTGACTGAGTTATTAAATTGATTGAGAAGTGACTGCTTAATGGGTACAGGGTTTTCTTTGGGGTGATAAAAATATTTTGGAACTAAATAGAGGTAGTGATTGCACAATGTTGTGAATGTACTAAATGCCACTGAATTGCACACTTTAAAATGGTTATTTTCATTTGTGAATTTCACTTGAGGGAAAAAAAATCTAACCAGGCACACAAGGGAACAAAACAATATAAATTACAGCCAGCAGAAACCCACAGGAGATTAGAGACTGAAGTTATAAACCTCAGATTTTAAAATTATGATGCTTTCTGTGTTCTCTGAACAGTGAAAAATATGAATGAGTATTTTGACAAATATAAACTATAAAAGAAGGGAAATTCTGGAACTACATATACAATTAAAATCAGTAACTCAGTGGATAGATTTAACAGCAGAATAGATAGGTAAAGAAGGAATTGATGGCATTTTGTGCATTAGAAGACAAAATCCAGAATACAGAACTGAGAGATGAAAATAGGAAAACAAGAGAAGTGAAGGTAAGAGACAAAGAAGTTACAGAAAGGAGTCCCATGAAGAGAGGAGAGGATGAGTGGGACAGAAGCAGTCTTTGAAGAGTTAGTAGTTGAGAATTTTCAAAAAGCTGATTAAAGATATTAAGCAATACATGTATAGTTGACTTCTAAGCAGAAACGGAACCTGGAAGACAGTGACGATATCTTCAAAATGCTAAAATAAAATAATTATCAACCAATGACCTGTGTAGAGATCACAGAGGATCACAAGAGTTGGGTAAGGATTGAGCAGACCACTAAAGAGCTGTTAGCAAGGGATGTGACCCAGGCAGGTGGTCAGGGTACCTCAAGGACTATTGGTGGAACAATGAATCAGTCTATTTAGGTGAAGCTAAGCTCCCATTACTAGGGGTGGTATGGAAATTGATGCTGGAAAGGGTCAGTAGGAGCAAGATGGTAAATGATTTCATTCTCTGTGTGATGGGAAATACTGAAAGTATGTTCTTGGTGGGATATCTCCTATCTACCTTGGTGGCCTATTTCTTCATAGATACTACTAACTAAAATTCCTTCTCACATTTTCCTGATACAGGTATAAATCATGCTGTCTCTTGCTACTTTATTGTGAGTGAAATGAAATTTAGGTAAGTGCCAGCTTCAGCCTGTACTGTACTTTCATTCCCTTGAGAGGAAATATTACTGGATTACCATTTTTAAAGAATCTGATTGCAAAGAATCTTATTTCCTTTTTGATTTGTTCCTCTGGAGTCAGAGTGAGACAGTAAATTAGGGAGGGAAGGGGGAATAACAAAGTTATTTCCAAATGGGTGACCTTTTAAATTATTTTCTCTCTTTCTAAGCACCATACTTTTAGGCCTAACCTTTCCCATTCTCTCTCTTTAAGAGCAGGACTCCTTACAAACCCATATTGTCATAATCAGTCCATGTGAACCCTATTTTGCTTTAATTGTGTTCTCCTCATCTCTGAGTGCCAGTCCCATTTGTCCCCTCCTCCAGAGTCCAGTCTGATATGTCTGTGCACATATTTGCATAATTCACAAATTTAAAACTGTGGTACTCTTTTATGTGTATTTTAACTTAGATCAATGGCACTGTGCTTTTAGGATCCTATAATTTGACCTACTGGACTAGAACTCTAGTTTTCCAGATTTTCTTCTCATTTGCATCTCGTGGAATTTTTTTGTTTTTATGTGCTTCTTTAAGATTCCTCCGCTTCCTGCCAGGTACATGAAATGGTGCTCAACATCACTAATCATTGGGAAAATGCAAATCAAAATTACAATGAGATATCACCTCACACCTAGAATAGCTGTCATAAAAAATATAAGAAATAACAAATATAGGTGAGGGTGTGGAGAAATGGAACCCTAGTGCACTGTTGGAGAAAATGCAAATTGGTGCAACTAGTCTGGAAAACAGCATGGTGGTTCTTCATGAAAAGTAGAACTACCATATGATCCAGCAATTTCACTTCTGCATATACATCCAGAAGAATTGAAATCAAGATCTTATATAGATGTCTGCACTCCTATGTTCACTGAAACATTATTCACAATAGATAAGACAGGGAAACAACCTAAATGTCCATCAAAAGAGTAAAGGATAAAGAGGTGATGGACACACACACACACAATCGAACATTATTGAGCCATGAGAAAGAAGGAAATCCTGCCATTTTCAACAACTTGAGGACATTATGCTAAGTGAAATAAATCATAAAGAGAAAGATAAATATCATATAATATACTTACATGTAGAACTTAAAAAAGTCAAACTCAGAGAAACAAAGAGTACAGTGGTGCATACCAGGAATTGAGGGGTGGGGAAAATGGGTAGATACTGGGTAAAGGGTACAAATTCCAATTGTAAGTTTAAAGTTTGGGGATCTAATATATAGCCTGGCGATTCTAGCTAATAATACTGTGTCATATACTTGAATGTTGCTAAGAGAGTAATCTTAAATTGTCTCACCATAAAAAAGAAATGGTAACTATATGACAGGATGGAGGTGGTAGCTAATGCCATGGTGATAATCACTGTGCAATATGCAATACATCACATAAACACTTGTACGCCTTAAACTCACACAATGTTAAGTATCGGTATCAATAAAGTGGGAGGGAAAAGAAGATTCTTCAACTTTAACTTTAAGCCCTTTTGCTAATTTAAAGTTTGCACTATAAATTTGATGTAGGGCTCTGCTTCTGATTGCTGTATGCAATGTAACTTTCCAGGCAGATTACATGCAAAGGGATTTCAGGGTCACAGATATTATGTGCACATTTGATCACACTAGGTGGTGCCATGCTGCTCTTGAGAATGACCAAAAAATGCTCTTCTTCCTCCCACTATCAAAGTATAAAGGTTCCATTTTTATAAGCTTGTCAATATTTGATATTATCCAACTTTCAAATTTTAGCCAATAAAATGAGCATAAAGCAATGCCTCATTTTCTCATTACTAGTGAGGTTGAGCTTCTCTTCATACACTTATTAGCCCTTTGGGTTTTCTTTAGTTATATCCCTTGCTGATTTTTCTAATAAGTGTCCTGCCTTTTTTCTTGTTCTGTAAAATTTCTGTATGTATTTTAGAGCAGTGCTGCCCAATAGAACTTTTTGAGATGATGTGAAGGTTCTATAATTGTGCTGTTTAATATGGTAGCCACTAGCCATGTGTGGCTAACTGAGTACTTAAAATGTGGACAGTGTAACCAAGGAACTGAATTTTTAATTCTATTTAATTCTGATAATTTTTTATTTAAGTGTAACTAGTCACATGTGGACAGTGCAGGGTCTCGGTATTAATCCCTCATCAGTTTTTGGCATAGCAAATATTTTCTCCTGGTCTGTCAACTCTCTGAGAACTTAGTCTGTGGGTGCTTTGTTAAATAGCAATTCATAATTTGGGTGTGCTCAAACCCATACATCCTTTTGCTTTATAGTTTGGCTTTTTGGGCTCTTCTTCAGCAAAGAATTCTTTGTCAACTTCAGTATCACAAAGATGGTCCCTGAAAAAAAATTTCTATTACCTTTAAGTTTGGGTGTTCTTATTTGCATGTGGCATAAAGTAAAGATCTTGCTTTTTTTCTACACATAACAAACCAGTTTTCTCAACTCAATTTATTAAACAGTGCTTTCTTTCTCTGGCAGAGCATGGAAGCATTTTTTTTTTTAAAGATCGTATACCAGGTCCAATAATACCTCATTCCATTTTTAGCCCTCTGTTTTGTATAATGGTCCATTTGCCTGCTTCCATGCCAGTATCGTTTTAATACTGTACCTTTGTAATATCTCTTCAAAATTGATCGTAGGACAATTTGTCCTCTGCTTTTCATGATTAAATTGACTATTTTTCCATTACATTTTAGAAAAAGTGTGTCAATTCTTTAAAAAATTTGTGGAAATTTTAATAGGGATTGCATTTAAATTACAGATTGATTTTGGAAGAACCAAATTCTTATGGTGTTGTCATTACATCCATGTGCACTTGTGCAGATCCTGTATTTCATTAATAGCTTTACAGAAATAAAATCTTCATAAAAATCTTGCATGTATTTAAAGTGTGCAAATTGGTAAGCTTTGACTTATGGATGAGCCTGTGAAACCATCATCAATATCAAGACAATGAGAGTAAACATATTCATCATCTCCCCAAATTTCTTTGTGAGCCTTTATAATCTTTTTCTTCTATTCCTCCCCCACCCTTTTCCTCATGCAACCAGTAGACAGCTTCCTCTCACTCTATATATAGAAAGATTTGTTTGCATTTTCTAAAGTTATTAGTAAATGGAATCACACAGTAGGTACTTTTTTGGTCTGGCTCCTTCCACTCAGTATAATAATTTTGAGATTCATCCATCTTGTAGCATGAATACTACTTGCTCTTGCTGAGTAGTATTCCATTGTATGGGTGTATTACCATTTATTTACTCATTCACCTGTTGGTGGACATTTGGGCTGTTTCCAGTTTGGGGTTATCACAAATAAAGCAGTTGTGAACATTTGTGGAGAAGTCTTTGCATGTATGTAACTTTTATTTATCCTGAGGTAAATACACAGAAGTGAAATGGTTAGATCATATGACAAGTGTATATTTAACTTTTTAAGAAACTACTAAACTGTGCTTCAAAGTGTTTGTACCATTTTACATTCCCAAAAACAATATATAGAGTTCTACTTCCTCCAAAACACAGTTTGTATGGCTAGTATGTAGTTTTAGCCATTCTATTAAGTGTGTAGAGGTTATCTCATGGTTTTTTTTTAACATCTTTACACATTTATTATTATGCATACATGCATCTTGTTATGAAAGATCAATGCTTAAGAGTGGGACAAAGAGCATCTACATTCGAAAATTTGACAGGCCCAGCAAAATTGTCCTACAAAGTGGTGGGTGCTTTACACTTGCACCAACAATGGATGCATATGAAGTCCCATATGTGAGTATGTTACATTTACATAATGAATGAAAAGCAATAGGATTTTCACATGAAAGAACAGTTTTTGAAAAAATCAAATTAAATTTCTAAAATTATATTATCAAACTCTGAAATATTAAACTGTTCTGCTTAAAAAAAAAACAAGTCAAGTTGTTACTAGGCTGTTTTGTTAGGTTACATTTCAGTACCACCACAATAAAATCAGTTCTCTACTTGCAAAAAAGGATGTGATTTTTGAAATTTTCATCAACTTGTTAAAGCAATTTTATTTTATTTTATTTTATTTTATTTTTTTGAGAGGGCATCTCTCATATTTATTGATCAAATGGTTGTTAACAACAATAAAATTCAGTATAGGGGGGTCAATGCTCAATGTACAATCATTAATCCATCTCAAGTCTAATTCTCGTCAGTCTCCAATCTTCTGAAGCATAACGAACAAGTTCTTACATGGTGAACGAATTCTTACATAGTGAATAAATTCTTACATGGTGAACAGTACAAGGGCATTCATCACAGAAACTTTCGGTTTTGATCACGCATTATGACCTATAAACAATCAGGTCAAATATGAATATTCGTTTGATTTTTGTACTTGATTTATATGTTGATCCCACATTTCTCCCTTTATTATTATTATTTTTTTTATTTTTAATAAAATGCTGAAGTGGTAGGTAGATGCAAGATAAAGGTAGAAAACATAGTTTAGTGCTGTAAGAGGGCAAATGTAGATGATCAGATGATCAGGTGTGTGCCTATGGACTAAGTATTAATCCAGGCTAGACAAGGGCAGCAAGACATCCACGGATGCAGAAGATTTCTCTCAAAGCAGGGGGGGTGAGGTTCTGAGCCTCACCTCTGTTGATCCCCAAATTCTCACCTGATGGCCCCCCTGCGACTGTGCCTGTCTTAGGTTGTTCCTCCCTTGAGGAATCTTACCCGTCTCTGGCTAACCAGTCATCTTCCGGGGCCATACAGGGAAATGTAAAGTTGGTAAGTGAGAGAGAAGCCATATTGTTTGCAAAGGTTAGCTTTTTACTTCTTTGCAGATTTATGCCCTGTGGCTTCTATGCCCAGCACTTGTCTCGAGGTATCTTTACCACCTGGAGGAATTATGATACTCGGTAAATTCGATATGAGGCACGAATTCTATTTAAGGGTTGTAATTAGGAAGGAAGAAGAAAA